AACTATGAACAATGATAATGATAATGGAGCCAGAGAAGTAATACAGGAGTTAAGGCACTTGCCTTGCATTCTGTCTACCCCAGTTGGAATTCCCCAGTACCACCTTTGTTCCCCCCAGCACTCCCAGGGGTCACTCATAACCACAAAGCCAGGACTAGCCCCTAAGCACATCAGAGTATGGCCCAACAACCAAAAGAAAAAAATTATAATGATAAAGATAGGCTTTTCTTATTGTGGTAGTCATCTTGCAATTCACACATCAGGGTATACGTTTGGTATCTGGAACAAGTACAGTGTTACCTGTTAATTAAATACCAATAGAAAAAGAAAAAAATCAGAGATATTAGTGATGAGAAAAACCCGAAGTGGGGCACAGTTCAGATGTCACCCACTCTAGTGTCAGTCACAATAGTTGTCCACTTTGATAGTTACTAGTTAACCTTGGCAGAGATATTCAATGGGTCAGATTTATAAAAACAAATCATAGTGAATGTTAATTCAATGAGTGCTGACATATATAAACTTTTTATTTAAGGAACACCTGAGATGTTTGGCACCAATGTTTACAAAATAAATGAGAGATAGAACCTTTTGCTCTGAACTTTTATCAATAGAGCTAAGGAGATAGTTTAAGTGGTAGAGCATATGCCTTGTATGTGGGAGGTTCTAAGGCCATTCTCTCCCTGAGCACTGAACCACTGGGCCTATATCACCTGGAGTGGCCCTGGGTACACCCCTAGCTCCACTTGAGGTGACCCCTAAAAAGAGAGTCTATCACTAATCCTAAAGCAAATTGAATTCCAGAATGTTCAATTCACCTACTTGTTTTATTTGAATATCACCTTTGCAAAGAATAATAATGATGAATAATTACTGAGTATTTACTTATAATGTGGTTACATTAACTCATTAAACCTTATAAGAACCTTGTGAATTAGAAATTAATATTTTCATTATAAATAAGGAAACCAAGACAATGAGGTTTAAGCCCCATGATTTTAAATACTAAGATATACTATTGTTCAACCTATGAGAAAGGTGGTTAATTCTCACATTTTATGAGGAGAAAACTGAAAACCAGCAGAAATAAGAAATTTATTTCTCAAGAATACACTCTTGGGTAAGAGAGATAATACAAAGGTTAAAGTGTATGCCTATCATGTGCATGGTAGCATTTAGCCAAAGTCATGGTCCTGGTTCGAATCCCAACACCAAATACAGTCCCCATGCACTGGTGTGGCCTCTTAGCATTGCTGGATATAGTACCCTCCTTCAATCCCCAACCCCCACACAAAAAAGAATACAGTCTTTTTGGAATACAGAATACAGTCTTATTCTGACTGTGATTATAGATACTTTTTGGCAGGGTTCAGTGGGCCATATGGAGTCCAGGGATTGAACCAGGCAAGCACCCTACCAGTTGTCCTATCTCTCTGGCAAATGGGGCCAGAGAGATAATATCAGGGGTTAAGGCACTTGTCTTTCATGTGACTTACCTGGGCTTAGTCCCTGGAAATGCATATGGTCATATAAGTCCTGCCAGAAGCAAGGGATCCTTGAGCCCAGAGTCAGGAGTATTCCCTGAGGACCAACAAGTGGGGACCCCAAATAAAAAAAAAGAACAAAAATAATAAAATAAAGAGATAGTACAAAAGACCAGAACATGTGGCTTGATAATGGAGCCACAGTTCTATTATCCTTAGCGCGCATGATATTGCACTGAAAAAAAAAATTCTCACCATTCAGTGTGTTCAAAATCATTGAAATCACCAAGGGACATTGTGAAGTATATAAATCGCTGAGTACAGAACTGGTTTATGCAGCACCAAAAACCTACATTAATGTACATTGATCAGCATCCCTAATTTGTTTTGAAGTTTGTGGTCCTCAAAATATATTTTGAGAAAACCCATCCTAAGGGCTTTTTGCCCATGTATTGTTGCTTGATGCTACTGAGGGGAAAATTCCCATATGAATGTCCTTCATGCAGCTGTCCAAGCAGAAGAATATTTTGATTTTAATTTTGGGATCCACACCCACAGGTGCTCAGGGCTTACTACTGGCTCTGTGCTGAGCTCAGGGATCACTCTTGGAGATGTTCAAGAAACCATATGTGATGCTGGGGATCAAACTGGGTCAACCAACCACATGCAAAACAAGTGCTTTGCCCATGGTGTTATTTCCCCAGCCTCTCTCCTTTTTTTTTTTGTTGTTGTTGTTTTCTTTTTTGTATTTGTATTTGCCACACCTGGCAGAGCTCAGGTTTTCCTCCAGGATCCATCCATTCACAGCGACTGGAACTGAGTCTCCTGCATACAAAGCTCCAGTCTGGTTAGCCATCTCTCTGCCCCTCTCCTATTAAATGAAGACTGGGATTGACTTTTGGGGGGTCAGGCAGCTTTTCATTTGGTTTCTCCATTTTACATTCTAGAAAAACATTATCAGAGAAAAACTGACCTAATTTTCCAATTTTCCAAGTACTGGATTACTCCCCTCATCAACACCCCATCACTGGCTGCGATTGATTGAGCTCTTGAAAAGCCAGTACTTTAACATGAGAGAGAAGTTTGACATGAAAAGTCAGGAAAAGGAGAGAGGCAGTGCCCATTTGAAATCTGAGGTGGAAATCAACCTGTCTGTCCCAAGAGAACTGAAGCTGAGTTCTCCTACCACAGATCTGAAGATCCATATCAGGGTTTAAACAATGTATGTCAGGTGGCTTAATTAGAAACTTTTAGCCGATGAGTTTCACAGCCACATGGGTGGGCTAATGGCCACTTTATTATCTGGGCTTCAGTAAAATGAGATAATATCTGTCACCCCAAACATAATTCGAGCTTCAAAAAAAGGAAGAAACGACCCTTTAGTGTTTTAAATAAAGTCTTGCTTTTAAGCACCATCACTCCATCACTGTTATTATTTTATTTACATATTAAGGTGCATGATTTACTAATGATAAAAACAATAAGAACTGATATAGGGAACTTGTGCACATTGGATGTATCTTACTCCAGGCATGGTGCTGAGGAAGCGCTGCCTACTGCCTCAGGATGGACATTCAGTAACTGTTTCATGGAGTGTTAATTTTGTGTTGTTATTATTAATAATTAATGTAATTTTTGTTCTGTTGAAAGCTGGAGGATTATTTTTAGTCATCTTCCAAGATATTTCCCTGTTGTATTGTCTCAGAGATACTGAGAGAGCAGATATGCACAGGAACCACTGAGCTGGCAGGTAGATGTTTAATGAAAGTCAATAAAATGATTAAATCCTTGTCAAGCTGAAAGGGGGCATGGAAATTACCTGTTCTAATTCTTGCATTCTGAAGATAAGAGAACTGCCCACAGGAATGAAAGGACTTGCCCCAAGCCATATGCTTGTTACTGTTGTTGATGCTTTACTGGTCTAAAAGCCCTCTCAGGCCTAAATCGAGGAAAGTTGGTGGGGTTGTAGAATCAGCCTGCCTTCTGGATGCTGGTTTCTCCCATGTCCTTATGCTTTCCACCCTAAAAGTGTGGAGTTTGGAGAGATAAGCCTCCCTGGGTCATACCTGTTTAACTAAAGGTCTGGATGCTTTGCAGAGACTGTAAAGTAGAATGTATCCCAGGGAAAGGAATCCAAGGTGGACAGACTCAGTCTCCAGTACTTCTCAGGCTCCCACAGCACAGGACTCTGCCCCTCCACCAGGACAGCCTGTGACAGCCTGTGTACTCACTAGCAGTGTCTCAGCGGGATAGAGGCTGCAGGGACTTAAGGGCTGTGGGCAAGTCCCTTTAACCTAACTGTCCTTTCCCTCCCCTGCTTGTGAAATAGAGATGCTGCTCATTCCGCCCTCAGAGCTCCAGTCTGGGAAGGGTTGAAAGCCTCACATTCCACCCCCTGCTAATATAATTACTAGCACTTTCTCTACAAAAAGAGTCCCACTAGTTGTACACAACCTCCCTCACTCCCCACCCCTTCTTTCTTTTAAAAACAGACCAAAGGCTATCTCGTCTTTTTCCCTGTGGCAAAAAAAAAAAAAAAAAAAAGGTTGTCGGTTCTGTGTTGGTTAACTCTTCATGTCAGTTGACCGAGGTTAAGGGCTTATACGTGCACGCAGATAATCAGCTCCGCCACCCCCCCCCCTCCAAAAAAAAGAAACATAAAAAAAAAAACTTCCCCAAAGAAAAACCCACCCGACCCAATAACAGTGTCAGCAACAAAAATAACTGCGGTGGCGGTTCTTAGGAGGGCTTCTGAGTTATAAGCAGACTTTTCTTACTGTAAAATGTGGCTCCAACCACTTCTCTCTCCAAGCCACCTCTGACCTCAAAAGGGTTATTAGCAGGCCCGGGAGCCAGGAGCCAGGAGGGAATGAGAATGTACAGGAGCAGTTTTTCCGAGGGCCATCGTCTAGGCGTTCCACTAGAAGCAGTTAAGACGAATTTTCGGGAGCCCAGCCACCTTATCCTAGCCCACGAGGTGCCTCTTTCCGAGCATAGAGCGCTGCACGTAGCCAGCCAGTTTCTCAGCATTTGGAAAATCTTTTAACAGTTTATGGAAGGCCACCCTTTAAACCAATTCCACAGCGCCTTTCTCCATAACCTGATTTTAGAGGTGTTTCATTATCTCTAATTACTCGGGGTAAATGGTGATTACTCAGTGTTTTAATCATCGGTTTGGGCAGCAGTTACCCCGAGCTCAGGGAAGCCCAGACTCCCATGGGTATTTGGGGAAGGTACGGGGCGACTAGTCGGTGCATGCTTTCTAGTACCTCCGCACGCGGTCCCCAGGTGAGCCCGGCCGCTTCCCGGGGCTGCCGGCAGCGGCGGCGTCGCAGCCCGGGCGGCAGCTGCGGACTCGGGCGCTGCCCGGGCTTCCGGGACCCGGGGCCTGAGCGAGGCGAGGCCGGCGGCGGGCGGGAGGATGTGGGCGGGGCTCCCCTCCCGGGAGGGGAGGAGGGACCGAGGGAGGGGCTGCCGGGGCCCGGGAGGTGGAAGGAAAGAAAGAAAGCCAGCGGGCGAGAGCGAGCGGGGAGCGAGAAGATGCGCGAGGGCCGCCGAGGAGGGAGGGAGGGCCGGAGCGCGGAGCGCAGCCCGGAAGCTAGGTGAGCTCGGGACCCGCTTCGCGGGGCCGGGATCGGAGCCCGCCCCGCCGCCCCCGCCGCCGCCGGGTGCTGAGCGACTCGCCTCGCTCCCTGATGGGATTCCGCTGCGCGCCGTCCCGAGCCTGCAGCGCCCCGCTCCTCGGCCCTCGCCCAGGTTCACCGCAGCCCTTCAGAGGTCCCCAGGAGCAGCCGCTGGCGAGCCCGCTACTGCAGGGACCTATGGTGAGCGAGGCTACCTGGCGAGGCGCATCTCCGGGCGGAGGAGCGGCAGGGGGTGGTGGGTACTAGAGGCGTTCAGGGATGGAATCGAGGCAGTCGGGGACCAATACCCTCAACCTTGCCGCCTCCACCCCCAAACGGCGGTGCCAGAGGCAGGGATGCTAGCGCTGAAAGACGCGAAGGTATTGGCTGCCTCTTCTCCCCCCCACCCCACCCCACCCCGGGCTGCCACTTTCTCCGTTTGGGGGTCTCGGGCGGGCTGTAGAGGAGAATGGAAAAAGCAACTCTTGAAAGAGGGTGTTTGGGAGAGATCGTGGAGTCTAAGCGCATCGTGCCACCCGTGGGCACTCTCGGATGATCCCCAGAGACGCGCTGACTGGCGAGGGAAAGGAGAGCGCCGGTCCCGGGGGGTTGTTGGGAGAGAGAACCTGGTGGGGCGAGGACACTCTACCCAGGCCGGTTGTCCGGTTGTGTGTGTGTGTGTGTGTGTGTGTGTGTGTGTGTGTGTGTGTGTGTTGAGGGGAGGTGGTGGCGCTGTGTCGAGGGAGGTGTCTCTCACCGGGTCCCCAGACGGGGGGAAGCCCTGGAGAGCTGCGGGGCCGCCGCTGTTCTCCAGGACTGGCGGCATCCCGGGAGCCTCTTTGCTGTCATCTCGGGGAAGTCGGGTCCGTCGCGACGCCGTGTGGGATGCCAGGCGCTCCGGGCACAGTGCGGGCTGTGTCCGGCCCGACCAGACGGTCGGCGGGCGCGCGGCTCTTCGTGCACCTTCCCACACGGAGCCGACGGGTTCGTGGGATCCTGGAAACCCCCGGTCTTTGCTTGTGGACCCTCCCGGCGGGAGGAGGGCTCGCGGACTCAGCCGTGTTCGGCACATCGCATCCGTGCGGGGTTCTAGAGGATCGAGCTTTGAGGGTTGAAAGGGCGGACGCTGAGACTTCGGAAGACAGACAGTAGACTGAGGCTCCCCTGCAACCCACTTGGTTAGGAGAGTCCTAGATGGCCTTCGCGAACTTCGTGCACGCCCGCACTCCACCCCCAATTTACAGACGAAGATACTTTTCCATTTTATCATTTCAAGATTTTTTTTAAAAAAAAAAAGAGAGAAGACGGAGTAAAACGTAGAAGAGACGGATCCTCCACGGATCCAAAGTTGAAACACGACTGGCTGTCGCACTGTCCACAGGGCTTGAGCGCAGTGCGCGTTCGCGCCGCCGCCCTGGGAGAGTCCGGGGCCGGTAGGGGTGTCCGGGGAAGCCCGACGCCCGCCCCTTCCACCGTGCGCGCAGCTAGGACCGGCCCTTCTCCGTCTGCTTTTCGCATTTCTGGAACTCCTCCCACGGGACTATTTTTTTTTCTAAGGGTTTTTAAGCAACTCAAAAACAAAACAAAAAAGTCAACTCTTTGCTCGCCCCAGCCCTTTCACCGTCAGCCCCGGCGGAGGTGCGGGATGGGGAAACCCGCAGCTGCTTCTTGCCCCTTGCCGCTCCCGCGGCGCCGGCCTTCGCGCTGCGGCGACCGTGGCCTCTGTACCCGGGCATGCTGGAGCAGACGGTGCGGGGGCCTCGGCTTCACCGAGGGAGAGCGCAGCGCTTGCTCCCCTTCGTCTAGGCTTCCCGCTAACGCCCCCACGGAGAAAAAAAAAAGTTCGCAGTGGGGAAAGCTTAGATCCCCATAGGTACTCGACGCAGGAACTGTGAAGAGCCCCAGAAAAGGGGGAGGGCGGGTGCAAGCGCACTTTGGGGTGGGGTCGTGGCACTTGGGACCCCATGAAAGTGCCAGCCTGACGCAGTTTGATGGGTCAGGTTTTCCCACAAGCTCCGACGCTTAAAGAACTACGCGCACACAGCATCTTCCTTTAGAGGCCCCAGCCATCCATTGAATGTTGGCTGGTAAAAATCTTGGAGAAATGTTTGCAGCGACTCTGCAGCTGGTGCAAAGAAGGAAGGGGTGGGGGGAGGATGTGGTGATGGGGGGAATGAGTGGTGGTTTAAAATATAAGAAAAGCTGAAGGGAGCGGGGTGGGGGGTAGGAGAAAAGAGGGAGGAGAGTAAAAGGAAAGAGGAGAAAAAAAGAGGGAGGACAGAGAGGCGAGAGAAGAAAGGGGAGAGAGCGGGGGAAAGAGAAGAAGCAGTGCAGGCTCAGAGGTAGCGCGCAGGCCAAAAGCGGTTCACTTTTTCTTTACTGCTGGGAACGTAGTGGGATTTCCTTTCTGCTCGGGGTCGGCGTTTGTAAAACCCCAGCGCTGTTAAGACCAGAAAAAATGTTAAGTACTCATTCCCGCGGCGACGCTTCTTTTAGAGTACGCCGCGGCTGCCCTTCGAAAGGCCCCCGATCACCGGTTCCTGGGGGCACCCCGCTTTGCTCGGGGAGGACGCGGCGGCCGACCGTCGAGGTGCGGAAAGCCGCTGTCCCGGAGAGGGAGAAAAAGTCGCTTCCCCTCCACTTTCCCACACAGGCCAGCGCATAACCACCGCCCCTTCTGGCCCCGGGCAGGGCCGGGACGGCCGCCTTCGGGATGGAGCGCTCACCCCAGCGCTCGCGGGCATCCGCCGAAGGGGGTGACCGGTGTCGCTGGGAGCAGTGTGTGGCCCCGCGGAGACCCTGGACAAGGGAGTGACCGTGACCGGGTACGCGCGGGCGCGCGCGTCCCACGCTCAGCGCTTTCCTTTTCCAAGTGCTCTGGGGGAATGGATTTCGAGCAACTGCGACTCCGCCGCCCCACTCGCCGCCCCACTTCTTCGGCTTTGCGCTCAGAGGCGCGGGCCCAGCTGCGCGCCCCAGTTACCCCAGCGTCCGGTCGCCGGCACGAAGGTCGGGCCCGACGCGCGGAGCGCCGCTGGGAGACGCGAGAACTGCGTGCCCTCCGAGCGCGCCCGGCTCTCGAGAAGCGGCTAAGGGGTCCGCAGAGCGCTGCCCGCCTCTCTTCCCGGACCCCGGCAGGCTCGGGCGGCGGGCTCGCGGGGGGGGCCCCTCCCGTCGGGGGCGGGGCCGGCGGAGGCGGGGGTGGCGCGCGGGCCCTTTCACCGCCCGCGGCCGGAGGGGGGGGCGGGCTCTCCACGCGCGGGGCGGGGCCTCCGCGCTCACGTGACCCCGAGGGGCTGGAAGAAAAACAGAGCCAGTCTGCGCCAGAGTCTCATTATATTCAAATACTCATTTTAGGAGCCATTCCGTAGTGCCATCCAGAGCCACGCGCTGCCGCAGCTCCTCTGAGCCTTTCCCGCAAGCCTGTTCAAGATTGGCTGTCAAGAATCATGGACTGTTATTATATGCCTTGTTTTCTGTCAGTGAGTAGACCTCTTCCTTCCCCCCTCCTCCTTCCTGGGAATTCATTCCGCCCTCCCCACCCTTGCTCGCCCGGTGTCCCTCCCGTCGGACCTTTCCTCCCAGAGTGCACGCTCCGCTTTCCGCAGCAGCGCTGTCGTTCTCTCCTTGCGCGGAGCATCAGCGAGTGCTGCTGTAAGTGCAGCTCGCTTTTCGCGCTCGCTCTGGGCACTCACAGCTCGGGTGCGTTGCAAGAAAAGGGAGCGCGAAGGAGGTGGAAGGTCCGAAGCCCGGGGTTTCACCTGTGGACTAACCACCGTCACTCTCCCCGCCCCATCCTTCCCACTAGCCTGGGGAGCAGCCCGAGCTCCCGTCTGCTTGTCAAAACGTACTATTGAGGTTGCTTCGGAATGACCACTCCTCCCCTTGCTGGGCGCGATAGATGCGTTGGGTATTTCAGAGCTCATCAGCTACCGCGAAGTACCAACCCTTAAGCCACAAAGGTGCTCGTTGCAGAGCACCTTTTGGCCCTAGTTGTGCTGGGTCTTCGCTCTGCCCAGCCCCTGCCTCGCTTCTTGCCCTCCCTCTAGCTCCGAACCAGCTGGAAGTTGTGGAAGTTGGGCTCGCAGGGGTGGAGAAACAAGGGGAGGGTGGAAGTATGAAGTGGAGAGCAGCAGCGGCATTTTAATTCTCCCTCCCCCACTTTTCTTTTTTTTTTTTTCCCTCTCAATGTTAACTGTTTATTCTTGAAGAAGCCAAGCTGAGATCATGGCTCAGATAGCAGTTGGGACAAAAAAAGATTAACAGGATGGAGGCTATCTGATTTGGGGTTATTTGACTGTAAACAAGTTAGACCAAGTAATTACAGGGCAATTCCTACTTTCAGGCTGTGTACATGGCTGCAGCTGGCGTGGGGGGGGGGGGCGGGGGTGAGGGAGAAGACACAAACTTGATCTTTCTGACCTGTTTTTACATGTTGACCCTCCTTTTTTAGCCCTCTATGCATATGCAGCGACATCTCTAGTTCTCTCCAGTTATCGGTGTTTGTTTATTCTTTAACCTTCCACCTCCTCCCCCTCCCCAGAGACACCATGATTCCTGGTAACCGAATGCTGATGGTCGTTTTATTATGCCAAGTCCTGCTAGGAGGCGCGAGCCATGCTAGTTTGATACCTGAGACGGGGAAGAAAAAAGTCGCCGAGATTCAGGGCCACGCGGGAGGACGCCGCTCAGGGCAGAGCCATGAGCTCCTGCGGGACTTCGAGGCTACGCTTCTGCAGATGTTCGGGCTGCGCCGCCGCCCGCAGCCAAGCAAGAGCGCCGTCATCCCGGATTACATGCGGGATCTGTACCGGCTCCAGTCTGGAGAGGAGGAGGAGGAAGAGCAGATCCGCAGCATCGGTCTGGAGTACCCTGAGCGACCCGCCAGTCGGGCCAACACCGTGAGGAGCTTCCACCACGAAGGTCAGTCCCTGCCCTGGCTCTGGGCTGGGGACGCTAGTCAGGCTTGCTCGAGGGGCAGCGGGAGCCCTAAGGGAGAAGAGTTCAGGTTACAGCAAAGCCCAGAGTCCGGGAGGCTGGGGAACAGAGCTGCTGACCTCCAAGAATTTCCAGAGCTGTGCCTGAATTTATTTTTTTGGAGACAAGGGGAGGGGTCTGGGGAAAGCGGAATGACACCACTCAGACATGGGCTAGCTCCAGCAGTGTGTTTTTGCTATATCAAAGCTTTTTTTTTTTGCCAGATTTTCTGCTTCCCCCCCCTTTTTTTTTCAAAGCACCTACTGAATTTAATATTACAGCTGTGTGTTTGTCAGATTTATTCAATAGGGGCCTTGTAATCCGATCTGAATGTTTCCTAGCGGATGTTTCTTTTCCAAAGTAAATCTGAGTTATTAATCCACCAGCATCATTACTGTGTTGGAATTTATTTTCCCTTCTGTAACATGATCAACAAGGCATGCTCTGTGTTTCCAGGATCGCTGGGGAAATGTTTAGTAACATACTCGAAAGTGGAAGGAGAGTGGAAGGAGAGGGCCAGGGTGGCTGAGCATGTTCCCTCCTGCCTTTGCTCTGTTGGCCCCTCTCTCTCTTTACAACCACTTGTAAAGAAAAAACTGTGTACACAAAGCCAAGAGGACTTTAAAGGGGAGCCTCGTGGTGGTAGAGTAAGGAGTTGACACATGGAAATTATTAGACATGTAAAGGAGGTTGGGAGATGCTTTCTGTCTTTAGTGCTTGCTGAACGCTAGCTAATTTTCACTGGGTTTCTAGCTGCCACATTTCTCAGCTCCTTCCAAGGAAAAGGTCTGCCCGTTGCCCTCAAAAGGGCTTCTCTACTCTCAGCAGAGTTTGTCACTCATCACCAGTGTCACCCCCGCAGCTCTCCTTCTGGACTTTTCCATTGTCCAAAAAAAAGTTCACGGGCTTTTTTTCCCCCTCCTTTCTTTTTCCCTTTTCTTTTCTTTCCCAATTTACGCCTAGAACATCTGGAGGACATCCCAGGGGCCAGTGAAAACTCCGCTTTTCGCTTCTTCTTTAACCTCAGCAGCATCCCGGAGAACGAGGTGATCTCTTCAGCGGAGCTCAGGCTCTTCCGGGAGCAGGTGGACCAGGGCCCTGACTGGGAGCGGGGCTTCCACCGGATAAACATTTACGAGGTTATGAAGCCCCCTGCAGAAGTGGCACCTGGGCACCTCATCACACGACTACTGGACACAAGACTGGTCCACCACAATGTGACACGGTGGGAAACTTTTGATGTGAGCCCCGCAGTCCTTCGCTGGACCCGGGAGAAGCAGCCCAACTATGGGCTGGCCATTGAGGTGACTCACCTCCACCAGACACGGACCCACCAGGGCCAGCATGTCAGGATTAGCCGATCGTTACCTCAAGGGAATGGAGATTGGGCCCAGCTCCGGCCCCTCTTGGTCACCTTTGGCCATGATGGCCGGGGACATGCCTTGACCAGACGCCGGAGGTCCAAGCGTAGCCCCAAGCATCACCCACAGAGAGCCCGGAAGAAGAATAAGAACTGCAGGCGTCACTCGCTCTATGTGGACTTCAGTGATGTGGGCTGGAATGACTGGATTGTGGCCCCCCCAGGCTACCAGGCCTTCTACTGCCACGGGGACTGCCCCTTTCCACTGGCCGACCACCTCAACTCAACCAACCATGCCATTGTGCAGACCCTGGTCAACTCTGTCAATTCCAGTATTCCCAAAGCTTGTTGTGTTCCCACCGAACTGAGCGCCATCTCCATGCTCTACCTGGATGAGTACGACAAGGTGGTACTGAAAAATTATCAGGAGATGGTAGTAGAGGGATGTGGGTGCCGCTGAGACCAGGCAGTCCTGGGGACTGCACATTGTGTGGGCGTGTTCCACACGCACACACGTAGACACATGTTCTCATCCACACACCCACACACTACACAGACTGCTTCCTTATAGCTGGACTTTTATCTTTAAAAAAAAAAAAACCTAAACATTCACCTTGACCTTATTTATGACTTTACGTGCAAATGTTTTGACCATATTGATCATATATTTTGACAAAATATATTTATAACTACGTATTAAAAGAAAAATAAAAGGAGTCATTATTTTAAAGGTAAATTATGTTCTTTTTCATCTATTCCTTCTACCCATCTCTTTGGAATGGTTCATTTTGTAGAAGAGGGAACGAGGGTATAGGATGGATGTCAGGGGGTGGTAACTGGAGGTGGTTAGGTTGGAAAGACAGGAAGTAAACTGTTGGCAGAGAGTTGGTAATTGCCAGGATGAATTGTTTTCCATTTCTATTTAATGTTACAAGGACGCAGCATCCTCTTCCATCTGGATGACACATGCCTTGGAGAAACAGTGGGATAAAAGGAGTAGGGCCAGATGAAAGACACAGTCCTTGTACATCTTCTGTCTTGGCGCACCTGTTAGATGTACTGGGTGTGATGGACAAGACTCAACTCTAGGGAAATGATTCCCCCTCTGCCTATATGATACTCCAGGGTGTCACCAATTATAGGCACAATCTTGTGTCTTCTAATCAAAACTAGTTTGAAATTCACATATTAACGTGTGTATGTGTTTTAAGAAACAGGGTGCTTATTTTTTTTTTTGAGGAGTGAGTTTTGCCCAATTAAACAAATAATGTACCTTGTCTTCAAAAATTTGACTGACCGTTGATTTAATGTATGGCTAGACTTTGCCAGTGTTTCTTGACATTTTCCCTTGTCTCCTAATTGTCCCCTGAAGGCCTTCACCAAGTGCCAGCAGATTGGGCTGGGGAGTAAGGCCAGTGGGTTCAGCTTCTGAGTGAACCTGATGAGGAGTTCTAAGGCAGCCCTGTGAAAGTGTTCCACTGTACACAGTCTCCAGTCAGATGCCAACTCTCCTTGCAGCTGGGTGATCCCTCCCTTCCCCTGGAGCTGGGAAGGTGATATACTTGGTGATGTGATGTTCTGAGCCAGTTTTATCAAGGAGAAAGCTCAGATTCCTGCCCATGTGAGAAGACTTGGTGCTAATGTGTCAGAACAGTCTCCCTTCGCTGAGGGTTGCCCCTGAGGTAGAGAAGTAAATGACTTTTGGGAATAACCTGGACCAAGGGCTAGCAAAAAGGACCAGAGGAGAGACCTTGGCTGGCCTCTAGGCATGCAAGAGTGGGGGAAGGTGTGTAAAGAGTGTTTGGGTGCACTGAGGGCAGGGCATTTCCGTGTAAACAGGACAGCACATAAGTGGTAGTGGTGGTGGGGTATGAGCACCCAAGAAAACCTGTGTATACTTCACCTAGCAGTAGTGTTTTTAGTGTGTTGTGTGGAAGGCCCCAGCTTTCATGTCCACACACTCTTCCGTGTGCTCTGGGGCCGGGGAGGGTGGAGCCGAAGCAAGATTCATTTTTGTTTTTAATTACTGAAGTCTTACAATCCTCCAAAAGGAGCAGCTTAGTGGAAACCAATAAAAATAGAAGCGAAGCTGTTGCCAAAGCCCCAGCTCCCTGGAGAGCGCAGGTGGAGAGAGGAGATCAGAGCCCCAGGCAAAGGCAGCAAGACTCCACAGTTCCTCCAAAACTCCCTGCAAAGAGGGACACTCCCCCCCTCTTCTAGCCCCCCAGGTCGCTGCCCTTTTGATTAATGGTAGGAAGGTCGAATAAATCATTTAGGGGAAGCCCATTATGGGGTCCCCTCAGGCGGCCTCGTTTTGTTTTGCCCGATTTCCAGCAACTTTCTGAAATGCCCGTGTCATTGAAAAGGACCCTGTGGGTTCCAGCGCTAGGACGAATTATCCTTATCCAGGGCGAGTCCCAAGCACCCCATGGTTGCCTGGCTCAGGTCACTTTCTAGCAACCCCCCTCCCCCAAGCCCTCCTCTACTGGCTTATTTTCAGGAATGGATAATGTTGTTTATTTGTTCAGCCAAATATTTGGTCTGGGGAATTTACCGTGAAATTCTGTGAATTGCATATACCTAGTTAACAAAATAGTCCTAATGCCACAAATGTTAGCATGGAAAAACAATGAACTATGGCCAGCTTTAACTCTTTCGGTTCTGTTTGAGGGAGTATTCCTGATATGTGGGTTATCAGGAATTGAATGGGTGGAGATGCCTGCCTCTAATTCTTGTTTTTCTCTAATGCCCGGTCAAGAATCCTATGGAAGTAGTGACCTGATTCCCACCCTGGCTTTGGCGTCAGACCGGAAAAGTGCCGTCCACCCTCCTCTCCCACAACCCCTTAACGTCTTACCCCACCACTGAGTCACTTTCAGTGGCTTCAAGACAGTTGGGGAAGGAGAATAGGTTCCGTGGACTTCAGCAAAATCACGACCCCATCAGAGGAAATGCTGGGGCGATTTTTGCCCAAACCTTAAACTAGAATCAGCTTCTTAGAAATTTAAGAGGAAGAAACAAAAGAAATGGGGAGCTGGGAGTGGGGGGGGGGTTGGCGGGCGGGGGGGGGGGCGTGCATCACACGTTCCCGGGCTTTCATTGCATAATTCTACCCCAACCTGCCAGGTGACCTGTCGACTTTGTTTTCTGTCTTGACCGCGCTTCATTCCACCCCCAACCCCACCCCACCGCTGCTGGGCTTCGCCACTCGGGGAGCGCTTGGAGCAGTCTTGGGTCCCCACTCGGGGAGCGCTTGGAGCGCTTGGGTCCCCGCGATCGCCCACACCAGGGGCCAACAGGCAGGGCTGGGCTCCTCCCGATCCCGCCATCCTCCAATGAGCTCTGACACCTTTGGCAGCTCCGGGATCCCGCGGCTTTGGGGGCGCCAGGGGGCGTCCTGCTGGCCAGGACCAGACAAGGAGCCGAAGAGCGCTGGGGATCCCCGTCCCTTAATGCCCCCCCCCCCGCCCCGCCCCGGTCCTCCTCAACCAGATAGCAGATTCCAAGTACCCCCCACCCCAGCTGGCCACCCGTCCAGCTCCTGCGTCTTCGGGGATCCGAGCTCAGGTGAAGCGCTGCACGAACAGACGGGTCTGATTAGCGCGCGCGGATCCCGGAGGGCGGGAGCGCCACATATTTCACGCGAAATGGGGTCAAAAGGCCGCGCAGAGCCGGGAGTGGGGGTGGGGGTTGGGAGCTTACCCGGGTGGAGAGGTGCGGGAGTGCCTGGGGGCGGGGGATGGGGAACAGGCGTGTCAGGGAGGCGAGGCTGTCTCCCACAGCGAGCTCAAGGTGGGTCGGCACCTGGGAATGATGAATGGGGGCCAGGGAGGACAGCAGAGACAGATCCACAGGCAGAGGGGTCAGCGTGCAAATGGGACTTCTCGGCGGCCCCAGCCTCCTCCATCCTGGTCAAAGCCTGGACTTGCGGGCCAGGTGGAAAAGGAGGGAGAGAGGAATACTCCAGGCATAGGGTATGCTGGAGGGAGGGGGCTTGGCTAACTTCCCTCAGAAATGAGATGACAAGCTCACAGTACTTACTGGACAGCACCCTCAGATGACCCCGGTGGGCCTCTTGCCCGGGGACTCACAGTGCCTGCTGCCCAGAGTCTGAAGCACAAAATGGTGATCCCTAAGGTGAAGTGAGAATAGAGCTTCAGGCCACGTTTCCAAAGTATTCCACACGGAGCCGATTGCATAGCATTCTGTCTCTGTCTCTGTCTCTATCTCCCCCCCTTCTCTCTCTACCTCCCTTCCTCTCTGTGACTCCCCCTCCCCCGCCCAAGAGTAATGGAAAGCCACATTGGTGACCTTAAACATTACCTGGAAATAAGAAGGTTGCTGGTTTTCCCTAGAGGAATTTAGGGTCATTGGTGGGCTGCCAAGTTAGAAATGATGCAGAATTATTCAGGCATACCATTTGAGATAGACCTAGCACATTTTTGAAAACTCCAGTAAAAGTGGCTTCTGAGATGTTAGGAATGCCCCCACTCCCTTGGGGCAGCGGGGGCGGGGGAGGGGGGTGTCGGTTTCCTTCCCTTCTACTTTCATCACTTTTTGGCAAAATAAGTAAATGGTTCAAAACAACAATGCACAAAAATTTAAAAAGTGGTTGGTTTTAGGAATATTTTGGCTCACACATATATGTACAGTATAAATATATATACATATATGTGACCACCTGAAAAATAGAAATAATTAAAAAATTTGGGGTGTGCTACATTGTCTATCCTAAAAAAGAAGTTAGAATGTCATTTCATGGAGGGAACCATTCGAAATAACCATTCATGAGTCACTTAAAATATTAGTGGAAGCAAGGCCCAGTGTTTCTGTTTTAGTCTCCAAAATATTCTTGAAAAACCACTGAATTGAAAATATAAATGCTGGAACTGAAGCAGTAGTACAATGGGTAGAGTGTTTGCCTTGCACATGACTGATCTGGGTTTGATTGCTGCCATGCCATATCTGTGTGTAAATATATACATATATATTATTGTATATATATTTTATTAAATAGATATATTTGTGTGCATATATAATGTTGTATGGAATAAGCTACTCAGAAAATATAGCACTATAGAAATCAAAAATATTTATTTGAAAATTGTAAAAGCCAAGATAGTAAGATGGAATATTGTAGCACTGTAGCACTGTCCTCCCATTGTTCATCGATTTGCTTGAGCGGACCCAGTAATGTCTCCATTGTGAGACTTGTTACTGTGTTTGGCATATTGAATACATCACGGGTAGCTTGCCAGGCTTTGCTGTGCAGGCGAGATACTCTCGGTAGTTTGTCGGGCTATTTGCTAATAATATGGGAATTTAATTTTTCTTTTGTTTTGTTCTTAGTCCACATCTGATGGCATTCAGGGGTTTTCTTTGGCTCTGCACTCACAAGACACTCAGGCATTTGCTTCCTCTAAGGAGAAAACTAATCTCAGGCGGTTTTGAGGGTCTTGAGGGACCATATGGGATGCTGGGGATCAATCCTGGGTTGTCATTCATGCAAGACAAGTGTTCTACTTGCTCTACTATCTCTCCAACAATTTACTAATGGGGATTTCTGAGGTACAGATTTTGACAAATTTTGCCATGATTTCTGGAATGGTATCATTGATTTCTCTTAATTTTGACTTTGTGTAACTTGAATTTGAATGAAAGGGTTTAATTTATTTTAATATTTATTTATTTATTTATTTATTTTTTAATGAATCACTGTGAGATATACAG